CGTCTAAGGACTGATTTTCAATTACATTGTGGTCGCTGCATTTTAGTTAATTTTCTAATGCCGTATAAACATTAAATTGTTTTAAATTTGCCTTAAAGCTTATCATTCAATAATACATTTTCATTGAACAAAATTGCAGTCATTCAAAGAATTCAATTTGTATTTTCCTCTGTATACTGCAGAAAATTCTTCAGAATCAAGTTAATACTGAAAAATACATTATAGATGCACTTTTTTGTTTTATATGTAGTAGTTAATATAGAATCCTTAAATTATATATATCTATGTATAAGGTATATATAAATGGAATAAAATATAGAACAAGGTATAAAATATCAAAGAAAATTATCTTTAATGTACAGTGTTCATTAACATAAGTATATTTATGTAATATCAGTATAAATGGTTAGTTCGGTTTCGCACATGTATAATGTATTTTTATATTTTGTATTATCTTCAGTACTGTATATGTATTTGAAGTTTAATTTTACTTATTCTCCTTTTGGGGTTACGACTTTAAGTGAGAAAGAATTGTTAGGGCCTTCATAAGGATTAAATTATATACAATCAATTAAGATCCGACTTTTCCTTTCTTTTAATACTTATATATATGATATACTATTTTATAAGTATATATAAAATATAGCCGTTTTTCAAGCTACTTATTATATATCGTTTGGTTTGGTTTGTTTGATTATAGCAAAACACTCGAGGGTAAGGATGCCTTAGTGAAGAACTTTCTAAGCAAAACTGACTCGTATACATGTTACACATGAGGAAAAACACGAAAACGGCAATACAGCCATCCTGTTCACCGGGATTCGAACTCCGGATCGACCTACCAGTGTTCAACGACTTTACCTTTCAGCCGCTAGTCAGCCACACACACATCCACACATATACATTAAATAATATTTACATGTCGTTTATAAAGTTTAATTGAGTGTAATTTAATCATAAAGAGTTATAAAATATTCTACGGAATTACCTCGCTTTGTAGATTTTTTGCAAACTTCATCATATTTCTTAAAGATAATCTCAGTGCTAATTGCATTTCCAAGCCATTTCTGTACCTTATTTTTTCTGCTTTGAATTATATTTGTAGAATTATTTCACCTGATTCCTGATTATAGCTGAAAATGTAGTTTTTTTAATGAAGATTTTAAGGATAAGAAGAAAATTAAGTCCTTTTCTAATTATTCTTGAAGCATTTAAAATTAAAAAAAAATTTAAAAACAAAGTATCAGAATCTAATTACATGTTTCACTTCTTAGAAAAATAGAAAATACAAAAACTTGTGTGTAAAAAGAAAGTATCTTTAAAAAAATAAAATTTTAATTTAAATTTACAAAAACATAAAAAATTATAAAATATTGCAGAAATTACATAAAATAGTGAATAAACTTATTTGGCACAAGTTCGCTAAATGTAAAATAGATTGTACAGTCAAAAAGCTCTCCTTGTCACTGAAATATACTGTTCATCGGGTTTAAAGGTTATTCAGACTAACGTGCGAAGTTCAATGCGTAACACGTATTTTCCTTTGAATAAATAAACTAGTCAAAAAATGGAGAGCATTTGAAAAATTAGATGCAAAATTAACAAATGGATTGAATGAGCCCTCCTACAGCCTACCACTAAGCATTTTCGTGGATTTCCTTCAGGTATGTAAATATAAGCCCATTTTCCCTAGAAAATTCTTCATGAAATCATGCCTAGCCAACCCTCATATGCTTTGCCATATCTAATTAAATAAACACACAAAATTATTCTTAATATGATTAATTAATTAATTTCGTGTTAGATGATACGGAGCTTTTCAAAAACTAGGATACTTTCCCTAAACAATTAGTGCTGTTCAACTGGAATTGGATCGGATTATTTGTTTATAGCAATGCTTTTCAGCCTCGTGACTTTCATGTTTGTATTGCTCAGGGGGAGGGGGAAGTAAATTCCTAGATCAAAATAATGTAATAATGAAATGTTAATAAACAAATAAATATAATCATTAAATTCATTTGATAATTATAATTTAATTTGCAAATACAAAGCGATACATGTTATTAATAATCCAAAAAAGGGCATACTAATATTAAACTGTTTAATAATACACAAAAGAGCATTTCTGGTACAATGTACATCCTTGTACACATTACTGACTTACAGTGAAGAACAGAGAACTCTGTAGTTCCATTCAAGTTTTTATTTCTGATATATTGATACTGAATAAGATCTAAAACTACTTTTCTTTTAAAATATGATACTTAACGCAGCCGTTTACTTTTCCCTTCCGTAATCAACGTCGGTCTCCTGCTCTTGACAGCATTTGCGACTCCACATTGGTTACGGTCTGAAACATCGCGGACGAAAACGTCGCGGAGAAAACAACGCAAGGCGAAAATATCGTAGTACAAAAATCGTGGGGGAATATAAAACAAAGAGAAAACATCGCAGTACTAAAACATCATGATGCAAAATATCGTGGTCAAAGCAGCAGCAGAAACCCTGGCTTCAATTTGTAGTTCTACGGCAGAAACTCTCTCTACTATTTGTTCTTTTACAGAAGAAACCCTTTCTTCTATTTCTTCTTTTACTGAAGAGATTCTTTCTTCAATGTGTCCAACTTTATCTTCAACCGCGTCATTTCTGCCTTCCATAGCCTCGAATTTGTTTTCTATTACGCAGGGAAATTCTTTTTTCATTTCCTCTCGACCTTCCTCAATCTTTACTTGAACAGATTTCATTTCTTTTTTAACAGATACATGACCCACTTCATCTCCTCTTTAATGTATTCTTGGCACGCTTTCATATTTTCTTGGTCTGCTTTCATCTCCTCTTTAAATGAAGCAAAGGCTGCAAACAGCTGTCTTAACTGCTCTTCCATCTCTCTTATGACTGTCATTCAAATCCCACTTCTGACACCAAAAAGCGTTACGGGTTCCTAATAAATTGAATGCACAAGGTCCGATGAAAAGAGAATGAAATTTATTCTTATCAACAAAAATGCTGAAATTTCCACAGGGATATTCGTACAATATCGCAATATCTCACAGTATTTTAAACTATTAAAACGTTGAATAGAACTCAATTCAAAACACCAAGAAATTTCTGATCTCACTGAGAATTCGTTACAATCAATAACAGCACTAAGTAAACAACTGAATTGAGATGTTTTTTCCTCGGCTTTTATAAGCCTTTTAATCCTGCACGAGAACATTCTGGTAATTTCTCGATTTTTCTGGATAGCAAAAGAGTACAATTAGGAGATACCTAATTCAGAAGTCAAACAACAAAAATCAGCGATTTTGAAAATATAACGCTGATTTTTGTTGTTTGACTTCTGGATTAGTATTTGTTCGGCGTGTTAATGTGTCTTAATTATTTATAAAATTTTAAATGCGCTTGTTCCTGTATTTTAATTTTTCCGGTGTAGCTTTCTCTTCAAACTCATCGCGCGCAGCATTGCACGGGGAAATGAAACAATTTTAATTTCAAATTCTACCAAAAATAGCTAAATAAATACAAAATCCGTAACAATATTGTTGAAAATTCCTTGATCGTTTTCAAGGAGCAGCGGAAGAATTTTCAACAGAGGCATGTGTCAAGATGTTAATACTGGAAGTATTTGAAAATAAAAATTCAAAGAAGATGACAATTATGGTAATTTGACTAAAATTAAAATAATCAAAGTGGTTTAAAAGTGCAACAAAGTAAATTTTTCAAACATTTTTATGATTTAATTAATCATCAAATTATAACTTGCACCAACATGACCCCAAAATAAAAATTATAATTTAGAATAAAAATTGAAATTCTAAAATTAAAATTTAAAACATTATAAAAAGAATCTCGTGTAAAGAAATATAATAACCGTTGTGTAAATCGAAAAAGGCCTTTCTCGCGATGTTATGGTGCCTCGTGATGTCTTAGATAAATTAATGCAGCAAAGCCGTTATATATTTGATTATTAAAGCAGAATAATTATAAAAATAAAAAATTAAAATAGTGAAGAGATCAACGATGATGAATTAAAAGCTAGTTTTAATGCTTTATGTTTAATGTTTAGTTTTAATGTTTGTTTTGCAGAAACATGAGACACAGAGTCAATTGCTTCAAGGAATATGTCTGTAGCTATATTGCTTCAAGGAATATGTCTGTAGCTATAAGGAAATAGATGGATACAAAGAATTTAATTTCATAAGTAGAATGCAAGTTAAAAATAAATAAATTTCGTGATTTCATTAAAATGGTTTTAAACCACATAAAAAATTCCTACCTATATAAAGAAAGCTAAAGTCATTATGGAGACTGCCTTTAGCGGGCAGTGAACGACTTTTCATCTTAATGAACACTGCGACAAGATCTTTGACTGAACAACATTTCGGATTTAATGAGAATGCCCTTAAAGGAAAAACCTTTAAGAGAACTTGAAAAATTCGCCTTTGTACCTATTAGAAAATCAGCTGACGTGAAAATGAACAATATGTGTGGTAATTCCTATCATGCATTATGCCACGTTATTAAATTTACTGCTTTATTTTAAATCATTCTTAATTTATTTTGCGATTTTTTTTATCTTTATTTATTTATTTATTTATTTTTTATTTTATTTTATTTTTTTTTTGTGTGTGTGTGTGTGTGTGTGTGTGTTTTGTTCAAGTAGAATTATTTATATTTTTTGTGTTTGCAAAAAGTAAAACATTTAACTATAATTTGATATTTTGCTTTTATAAAACAAAGTGCAAGCCCTTTGTTAAAATTTCGTAGCTCTTAGAGCTAAATTTAATTTTTAAGTTACTTCAAAATTTCGCTATAATTATTCGTTTATATTTTGAATACAGAGAATACTGTACAATGTACACAAAAAGTAGAATATAACATTTTGCAGTCTGCTTATTATCTTATTATACAGTCGGCTTATTATATTATTATAGGCTGTTAGAAAACTGTTTTGTTTCTGATATGAAAAATATTTTTACAGTAGCGCATCAAAGAGATCTTAATTTTTCTCCCTTAGTTTTGTATTGTAATTCATTAATTACATTTTGTCTTTCAGAAATATTAGTAATATCTTAGTATATTAGTAATATTAGAAATATTGGTAGCACCTTTAATTGATAAAAATTCTTAAAGTTATATGCGCATAATTTTTTAAAATTTATACTCTGCTGCTGTATGATGCGAGATTCGAAAATAGTTTACATATCGAAGTGTTGATTTGTTGCGGTACTCACTTAAAACGTTTAGTGTTTCTTTTAAGTAGTGCCGCTAAACGGGATCTAGACTGTCTTACATTCAGTTAGCTCAATAGAGGCTTTCCTTGAAATCAAAGCTCATGCAGTTTGTACTGGGAGTGCAAAAATGATCCAGCCAGAAAAGGGTGCCCTCACCCATATCATAGTTTTAAATTTGTCAAAGCTTGGCAAGCAACACTTGTGCACATTTTTTATGAGTAAATCATATTTATGTTCTAAGTCAAATGAAACTTTTTTTTTTTGTTTTGTTTATTAAGGTTGTTATGGAGCAACAACTGATAAAAATGAAACAGAGCATCAAACACATGATAAAAACAACGGAGATGGACATTCAGCTTAATCGACCACGAGCCATCAGAGACAAGGGTGCCGCTGAGTGGCTTCGCCTACTTGAAAATGAAAGTAGGTTTTACAAAGGTAAGTGTCATATGTTTATTAATACATGCACTTCTTAGTCGGTACCACAGTATTAAAAAAAAGGCTAAAATTAAGTGAAAAACTAACCATATGCCAAACATTTAAAATTTTACATTGGTATGATTCTCTTCCGATTTCATGTGACCAACATTCAATATGAGAATAATTTTCTTTTTGTCCAATGACTCGACACTTGCTGCTCAAGTATTTGTCGAAAAATGGTGGAACCTGTATTTCATTTAGTCACTTCATCAACGAGAATATTGCTTGCAGGCACAATAAGGGCGGGACCAATGCAAGAACCAGGACTTAAAAAGAAGGGCTAGCTCATAGAGCTTTTTCTCCTGAAACAGGCAGCGGGGAGTGATGACGTAGCCATAATGACACTGAACGCAGAGATGCAATTGACAACATAGAAATTAGTGTTTTAAATTTGAAGAATCAGCGTTTAAAATGAGCTGTGTGTGAAAGACAGTTATCATTTAGAAGAGACAATGTTACTGTAGTATGCGTTTTACACTGAACATTAAAAAATTTTAATTTAACAAATTTTAAAATAACAAATAAAATATGCTACTCTTAACATAAAGTTCCTTTTTTTTTAATTTGCAGGGATTGTTTTTTTTTAAATGCCTGTTTATTTCTAATCATTTCTTTATCTGAGATTTAATTAAAAGAACTCTACTACTGCTTCTAAGATAACTATAATAACAGCTATTTAAAATTAATCAAAAAGCAACCTTAAATTGGCATAGTTTTCAAAATTTCTGCTAATCTGAGTTTCAGCCTAATTGTAAATTTTACATTGGTATATTTCCCGATTCAATATAATAACATATATATTTTTTAATAATTTTGTAACTTAGGCTTACATCAATATTACATTTAAATAAATACATGTAAGATTGTTATTTTAATTTAGACAAAACAACTTTACTCACAGTACCTAAAAAAAAATTATTTAATTTTTCAAAAGTGGGGGTTAAGGAGGCAGGTCTTCTTATGTCAATTACTTTAATTTTATATTATTATATTTTATCTAGAATGCTAAGCTAGCACAACATCGAATCAATAATAACACAGGATACAATAAAAATAACTTTAACAATAACTTAACAAAATTAGTTCTCATTTGAAATATGCTTTACGCTATTAACTTCTAAAATGTCATCTACAAATACTTCAAATCAAAACATATTATATATGCTTTCTTGTACAGTCACAATGCAACTACAACTTGTTGAAATATTATTTATTGGCTGCCACATTCGAAGCAATCCACTTTGTGTCTTTAGGGCTGCTTTTCTTTGGGAAAAATCATATGCATTTCTATTTAAGAAACTTATTCTAATAAAAGTTCGCACTCTGCAAAATAAACGAATTGCTTCTCTGTTAACTTCAGGATAATGTTTCTCCAGTTTATTAATTAAAGAGCCAATTACATGCTTCCCTTTATAGTAACCTGTACCATGAACTGCACAAAATATATTTTCGAACTCGTAAACTGTATTCATCTATGAATGGGAAGGTGTAGTCAAACCTCCAATCTATTAATAAGTGCAATATTTTAATTAAGAATGAATAATTTAATCCATTCTGAATTAAAATATTGGTTCATCAGCACTATTTTTAGATATTGTTCCCAATGCTGGGTCTTTGTTTCGCACACGGTAGGCAATATAACCTGCAACATATGTTAATGCTTCTTTTTCGGCGGTCGGTCGAAAATTGTCTGGCGGAATTCAATTCTAATTCCCAAGATATAGGAGAAGGTTCCATAGGAAAAAGTGGAAGCCATAAGAAAAAGCGGTTTCTCAGTAATTTGAAGCAGTGCGCTAAATCTGCAAAAACCCATATTTTTTTTCGTTTGCAATACTGTATTTGGAAACTGAGAACTATTAATCGAAATCTGTAACTCTTTCCACAAAGTACTAGATCATCCTAAATCAGACACTATTGCTTTCCCTTCTACTCCAGATGATTGTGTTTGCGTGTGTGATTATGGCAAAGCCTCGAGGGCTATCTGCCTAAGGGGAGGGATGCCCTCGTGGAGGACTTTCTAAGGGAAACTGGCTCGTATACACGTTACACATGGGGAAAACCACGAAAACGCCCATGCAGCCAGCCCGTTCGCGGGATTCGAACCTCGGACCGAACTACCAGTGTTCAGCGACTTTTCCGCCCGGCTGGTGAGCCCAGATGATTGAATATGTCTTTTTCATTCGAGTGTTAAAATCAAGAAATTGGTTGTTTCCACTGCGAAATGAGACCTCTGATTAAACCAAACTGCACTTTTTGAAAAGGACCGAGAATTTGGTCCAGTTTAGAGTCATAGCTAAGTTTAGAATCTATATGCATTTCGTTGAAACCGAGAACGCATATTTTTTCTACAGAGTTTAAATATTCGCATCGTTCCTTCATTACAGGAAGAACATCACTCTGAATTCTTGAACTACATGAAAATTTAGCGCACCATCTCCTTAATATGTTAGTGCTAGGTAAAGGAATTCCTATTTTTTCTTACCAAAAAACGTTGCTTATAGATGACAGAGCTCTTATGACAATGCAACGTGAAATATCTTCACTAGTCCACCTGATTTTTTCCTTCTTTTCTAGCAGTGCGTTAATCTGCATCTTTGTAAAAATATGCTTTAGACCAGGGGTCTCCAAACTTTCCAGCCTTAGGGCCATACTGATTACTCCAGTAAGTTCCGAGGGCCAAAACCATATTATCATTGTTGCCGGTGGTAAAAAGTGAAATAGTCCACTGATGAAAAAAAAAGTCCGAAAAAGTACGCAACGTTTAAAAAAGGTTGCAACTCGGAATAAAGTCCGCAAAACGGCAACACTGCATATTATTAATTTTCCTGTCATTATCTGTAATTTCTAGATTAGTCGTATAGTACGAGCCATGAGGAGTAACGTGACACGACATCTGGTGGACACAAGCGGAAATAGCTAGTACCTTCTATCGCTAACAGATGGCGCTAATAGCACGTACAGAAGTCAGTTCCTATGACACTGTTGTGAAATAAAATAGTGCGTACCTCCTTAAAACGTGTTGTGCGTGTTTAAGTTTAAGACATCTTTGTAACAGTATTTTGATTTGAATTATTGCTTTTGTGTGTGATTTAGTAGTATGGAAAAGAAGCGAAAAATTGGTAGTGAATGCAGAAAATTCAAAGATCAGTGGAACATTCAGTATTTCGTAATTGAATCCAGTAACAAGGCGCTATGTTTGATTTGCAATGAAAGCATAGCCGTTCTCAAAGAATATAACATTAAACGTCATTATGAAACAAAACATTTTCAAAATTACTCAAAATATACACGGACAGAAAAATTCGAAGCTATGAAGCGCGGATTGAAATCTCAGCAATCTTCATTTACAAAACTCAAAACTGAACAAGAGGCTGCAACTCGTGCCAGCTTTTGTGTGGCTCTTGAAATTGCAAAACGTGGAAAACCATTCACCGATGGAGAAATGATCAAAGAAAGCATAATTGCAGTAGCCGAAGAAATATGCCCTGAAAAGGTAAATTTATGAAAAACTGTCAGTATGTCATTAAACACTGTGGCTCGAAGAGTAGAAATCATTGCTGAAAATATATCCTCTCAACTGTTCGACAAAAATGGACATGTTGAGTGGTTTTCTTTGGCCTTGGGTGAGTCAACGGATGTGTCAGATACTGCTCAGGTGTTGATTTATATTCGAGGAGTAGATAAAAGCTATGAAGTGCATGAAGAACTTCTTGATATGTATAGTATTCATGGCATAACTACTGGTACAGATATTTTTAAAGGAGTTGAAATGGGCATTAATCAAAAGAACCTTCGATGGAAAAACTTGAAATGTATTACAACTGATGGAAGCAAAAACATGAGTGGGAAAGATAAAGGAGTGGTCGCTCTTGTGTCAAAGGCTGTAGAAAATGAGGGTGGTTCAAAACCATTAGTCTTACATTGTATCATTCATCAACAGTCTTTGTGCGGAAAATGTTTGGATATGTCTGAAGTTCTGAAACCAGTCATATCAACTGTTAATTTTATCAGATCTTTTGGGCTGAATCACCGACAATTCCGACAATTTATTGAAGAGATTGGAGAAAATGACTTACCTTATCATACTGCGGTACGTTGGCTTAGTTGTGGGAATATCCTTCAGCGCTTTTTTGAACTTCGAGCAGTGATCGAAATTTTTTTGAATGAAAAGCATCGCCCTCTTACTGAATTACAAAACAACGCATGGCTGTGGAAGTTAGCATTCTATGTTGATTTGACAAAACATGTGAACGAACTGAATTTGAGATTGCAAGGAGAAAACCAGAATCTTCCTGATTTATACACTAATACCAAATCATTCCGGAAGAAGTTGATACTGTTTCAATCACAACTACGAAGTAAATGTTTTTCACATTTTAAAACATGTGAAATATTCAGCCACACCACTGAGACTGAGTTTCCTATCGATTTTGCAATCGAAACTTTGAGTGCTTTTAAAATAAATTTTGATACTCGTTTCTCGGACTTTGATGCCATTGCGAATCAAATTAAGATTTTTCAGAATCCTTTTGATACTGACATTGAAACCCTAGCCCCGGAACTTCAAATGGAAATGATTGATCTACAGTGCAGTGATATAATTAAGAACAAATATCAAAACTCATCTTTGGAATTTTATAAGAGTCTTCCACTGACACAATTTGATAATTTGCATAAATTTGCTCGTGGGCTGTTTTCTGTTTTTGGTACTAATAATTATTCAACATAAAATTAGAATACTTCAGTAAACTAAATTTAATTTGCTATAAAAAATATGTTCTCTAAAAGGAGTTTTCAAGTATGCTAGCTCTCCGCGGGCCAGACAAAATCTGTCCGCGGGCCAGATGTGGCCCTCGGGCCGTAGTTTGGAGACCCCTGCTTTAGACCATTTTTCTAATTCTCCGATCCGTGCTATTTTTTCCTAAATTTCGCTGTTTGGGATTTTAATTTCTAAATTTCCGATACAAATTTCTTTCTAGATGTCGTCCACCTTCTTTGTCGCTGAGCAAACATTCTAAAATTTTTCTTTTCTCTATTTTTCAATATTTTATTACAATTTTCTAAGGATATTATTTTGTTCTTCAAATTATCAATATATTCTTGTTTATCTTTACACTTTTATAAAATTCAGTTCAATAAAAATGTCTCAAAATAATTTTAAATTTAGCATATCTTTAGAATTTCCGATACACAGTTCCGCGCGCTGAAGATAAAAAGGTCCCCCCCCCCCCCGTAGACTGTTGCCATTGCTCGCTTTGAAATCCTTGAGTTTGTTAATCAAAAATTCGTTAAAGTTTTACAAAATATGAAATCGATAATAAAACAAATTTCAAATTTGGTCTTCCTCATGCCCATATTCGTAGGAGGATTACGTCATTCAAAATTCGATGGCTCTATGTACCATTGTTTTATCACAATGCGAGAAATATACATACATTTATGCAGATTTTCATTATTTAATTTCTTCAAATATAATGTAGGACTCTAACATTTGGTGGCAACAGTTGAAAAGTGAAACGGATATTTATAGTGATTCAACGCAAAATCGCAAAACGAAAACAATAGTCCTTCAGGGACAAAGCCCCTTTGGACTAAAAATAATGCTATGCATTACCTATCTTTGAAATACATTTTATCAGTTATTCTTATCTCATACAGGAAAAACTTTGCACATTTTAAAGAATTCTGCCTTCCAAACTGTTTTCTTTTTCGAAGGAAAAAGCAATTTTTATTCACAACATCGTACATTTCCAAGGTGCAGTGGGAAGTTAAGAAAGCAAAAGGTGATTACATGAGACTTAATTACAATGCAATCTGCGCTATTAAAAAATACTCTTTTCTCCATTTTCAAATTTTAATGATGGTGTACATGAGTTAGGCTGATAGGTAATGTTACCAGACTGCTGACTATAATTAAAGGTATATTTTTTAATGTTGACTCAATTTATTATTTTTTTTTTACCTCTTTTGTTTCCATGAATAATTCACCTTTACAGTGAATACTGGTTATTACATTTATTAAGTTTTCTAATAAGTAATGAAAATGTGTAAACATTTTTTATGCAGAAGAAAGCATGTAGAGATTCATATTGCTATATAATGCATTTTTCAATGAATATGTTTTTTTTTTTTAAATTTTCACTGAAACTTGTATAACTTTACATTAATTTAAATGTTTTAACTTTATTTAATTATTTTTATTACATATTTTAAAATTTATTTTTAGCATTGGATGCCCATGTTACAAGGGGCACCGTTATTGATATAGCTGAAATGGAAGAAATTAAAGCAGTCCACATCGCAGTGAGGTCTTCAGAACGTGTATACGTCCAATTTTGTTTAAGTCTAGGTTTAGATCCTGTCAGCGTGGACTCAGAAGGCCAGACTGCTTTGCACATAGCTTGCACAAAGGAGTCCTTGGGTAATATTAAAATTCCTATTCATATATTTGATTTCGCTGAATTATGAATTTAGTAAGTTCCAGTTAGAAACCAAATCTAATGTTATTTCTCATTAGATTTGAATTCTAACAGGAATTATTGCACATTACACTTGGTTTCTTACAGGAATTGTTTCACATTAGATCTGACTTCCATCTATGCAGTCAAAAGGATAAACACATCTACTGTTCTTGTCATAAAATATTGTTAGGTCAAATCTAAATTTATGCTGAACATGTTTGAGTATTCTTTCACATTGTGCAGTGAAACTGAGCTGAATGCACTGAGATTTTACTGGACATCTTAAGCACAGTATTTACTTTCGATTCCTCCCCTTTCAATCAATATTACTACTTAAAAATTGAAAGAGAAAAACGACGCAGTGTATGCAGTTTTTGAGAAAAGCAGCAGTGGCGGCTCGTAGCTAAAATGAGTGGGGGTGCTGTTCCAAAAAAAAAAAAAAAAAGATAAATAACATTTGTTTTAAAATTGTGTAAAAGGAAACTAACATGTATAAAAATAAAATTTATTTTGAAACTTCATGAAATCTTACAAGGAAAAAATAAAACCTTTTTTAATTACGTTAACCTAAATTGTTACAGTTCAAACTTTATCTAGTCATATAAAATTGTAATCCATTCTTCTTATTTTAATTTGCGCGAAAAGATGAATAATTTTCTCCTTGATCTCTCGATCACAACTGAGGAAATTTTTCTTTATTGAAAGCAATACTAGGGCATTTAGTCTTCCTGAATTCCTAGTGCTTCTTAGAAAAGTTTTCAGCGTTCTGCCTCTGATGTAGTCATGGGAACTCTCAAGAGAATTTTTATCAGTTTCGTAATTTCACTAAAAACATCATCTAGATTGTTTTCGAAGATAAATTTCAGCAGCTCAATTAATTTGCAGTATTCATGGATATCAGACCTACATAAGAATACTTTTAGCTCAGTTTCAAGCTTTTCTTTGTCAGTCATTGGATATGTTTCAGTGGTCAGTACTATTTCTTCTACAGGATGTTCATTCCTAAAACTAGCAAAGCATTTCTTGTTAAACAATTTAGCAGCTGCTAAGTGTTTAGTGGAAGAATATTAGTGCATTATATCAGTACATAGTATAAAGTCACATATTTCCTTAGCTTCTGCCATCAGTGTCTTTGAAAAATTCTCACAGTACTTTGAGTTTCTTAATTCTAAAATAGCAGTTTTGAAATTTGTTATATATTCATTAACTTTAAACACACTAATTTCTCTGGATTGCATTTAGTTGTATATTATTTCAACATGAGGCATAATCTGATAAAAAAGCTCTAATCATCACTTCAAATTATCATCATTTAGATATTTTAAAATTCCTGTTGCTTTTGCAATAGTTTGATCTGCATTTGATGTTGATTGAATTTCAGCAAGGTAATTTTTTTAAGGTTGCAAATTTTCATGAACTCTGTTTATGGTCCGTATGATGAAGGAATACTACACGCGCGGAGTAAAAAGAAATCAGATTTCCAACAACACGCCAGAATTTCGGCACTGCAAGAGCGACAGTGCTCTTCTCTCTCCCTTGGCTCGCGTACCTGCTTTCTGTGTGCGCATGCGCAGAACAGCCAAACACTACGTCACTGGAACTGTGAAACGCGCAGTTCCAAACAAAGACTTTCGTACCTTTTTCACATTCTGGGGATGGCTACTGACATTAAGCTTAAAGATTCTGTATTGTAAAAGTGAAAAGAAAGAATTAAAGACTAAAAGGGCTCACTATATTAAATATTAAAGATAATAATAAGTGGAATAGGGGGTGCTGCAGTTCCACAGTGCTTATTACGAGCTGCCACTGAAAAGCAGTAAAAGAATTTATCTGCTTGAAAAAACGTCTTTGAACAGTTGCGCTATTGCTATTACTGAATTGCTGTTTTTTCGGAGTTCGGTTCTACTCATTTTGGCATATTTTAGCACTTGTAATTTAAATTTTGGTGGATAGCTGCAGCTACTATTTTTCCCAAAATGTTTTGCTGATTGGTCTTATATTAAATTAACAATAATATTTTGACAAAAATTAATTTGGTTAACTTGAAAAATCCTGTTTTAAAAAAAGGAGACGCGGATAACGAGGATTATTTCTAAATGTAGTTTTAAGGCAAATTCAAAATTTTTAAAAACCAGTTCGCTGCTTAAATAAAATTTTAGTTTTTATCATACGGTTCGTTACACTAAAAATACAGGGTGTTTATAAAGTCCCGGACCCATTTTGATGTTTAATAACTCATAAAATAATAAAGATAGATTAAAATTAATAACATAAATGGTTAGATAGACTAAGAAAGTTTCATGACCCTTGTCAATGAACTTCCACGTGTGCCCCCTTCGTCGCACGGAGAATATCAAGTCGATATTCAATTTCATGCCAGGTACCGGCAAGCATGTCGGCATCCACAGAGGCTATTGCAGTTGTAATTCTCGCTTTTAGGTCATCAATGTTCGACACTCTTCTCCTGTAAACGTTGTCCTTTAAAGCGTTATCACATTAGCTGTTTGTTGCCGGAACAAAACGTTTGCAGCAACAGTTCTGAGAAACGCCCTCTGGCGAAATAGGGTTACCATCTTCACTTGTTAAACAGGCTGAAAGCCAAGCAAGAATCAGTTATCGCTCAGATTGGCGAAAGTGACTCTTCCTTTCAAGTGACTTCCGCTTCTTCATGTTGTTTTGTATCGCTCAAACTTTATTGTTAGTAATGGAAGATAATAGAAAGGTGATTGCTATCAAGTTAATCACTTTTATCTCCACTCTGGCACTTCAAGTAACAGATAAACACACTTCTGGTTATAATAATCAATTACGTCAGTAATAGCCAAATTATGTATACACTAAAAATAGTTTAAAACGTGTGCTGGATAAGTCCATATATCAGACATTATTTATGTATATTTTCTGTTGTCTGCATTGCAATGAAAATTTGATGGCTCACTGGAAAATTTGTGACCTGGTGTCCACCTTCTGACCTTGATTAACTTTATGGCTCATAATTACTGTTCTGTCCATTCAAACAAACAAACAGGCAAAAAAAAAAAAAAAAAAAAAAAAAAAAAGATGAAGAAGAAGAAGACCTTTTATGACAAAAGTCTATATGGCTGATATTTACATCCTCACAGCCAGCAGATACTATTCAGCAAAATGAAGATCAAATAAAGCATATGAATACATGAGCAATCAAACATGTGTGAGTTGTTTACTGTCCCATAGAACACTCGGTAATATACCTAAAACACATTAATTATACCAACTCTAGAAATTAGGTGTTCACATCATGAGTTTGTTTTATGGTTTGGTTTATTGAGATTACAGCAAAGCACACTAGGGCTATCTGCCTAAGGCAAGGGATGCCTTCGTGGAGGACTTTCTAAGAGAAACTGGCTCGTATACACGTTACACATGGGGAAAACCACGAAAGCGCCCATACAGCCAGCCCGTTCGCGGGATTCGAACCTTGGACCGAACTACTAGTGTTCAGCGACTTTACCGCTCGGCCGCTGGTGGGCTCAGTTTGTTTTATGTGATTACCGCAAAGCCTTGAGGGATAACAACAGGAGGGATCCCTTTGTAGAAGATTTTTTTAAAACTGGCTCGTATACCAGTTACAAATGGAGCAAACCAAGGAAACGTCATGTAGCCAGCCCGTTCGCGGCATTCTAACCTGAGACAGAACTACCAGTGTTCAACAACGCTTCGGCCACTAGTAGGCCCGTGACTTAATTGGAAAGTGCAATTCATTATGTAAACAGACATGAAGGTGATAATCAGTTGTGCGCTGTTTTAAGTAATCAAATGTTATAAATGCACAGCTGTTACATTTCTTATTATTTATTAGTCATGTTTTTATTACGTAGATCATACGTATGATATAATTATGAGTTAACCCAATAACAAAATTTGTACACTCTTTAGTACTCAAATACTCATAAATTATTTTTCAACTGATTATTACATACCCATAATAATTTGCAAAGAAACTGATAACTATAGTTGCTGCCAATTACATAATCGTTATCTGAATTAAAAGCAACTTCAAATAAACTTCTTGGCAATGTTCATTTTTGTATTCATACATACATATATATATTATATATACACATCTAATAAGTCATATATTTACATACAGATTGAGAGATGCGATGGTTTAGAAGTTGTTAATATATATTATTAGTATTAATGTAATGAATAAGATTTATATTAATGAATGTATATACAAATGTTTTTCATCATGCATAATAATAAATCCATAAATTTCCAATGTTTCAATATGTAGCATTTACAATAAAAGTATAGTTTCTCAATGTATTTATAATCCAAAAAGTATTTCGTTAATAACATGAAAATAATAGACAAATTTAATGAGTATTCTCATTATTACATAAGCTATGCTTTTTTTTTTTTATGCATCTTTTATGCTGTTTTAAAATGTGTCACTGATTATGCAATTAACATTTTAAAAGATAAGTAATTAGGAGAAAAGCCGCGCATATACAAACGGATTTAAAAAAATTATTCAACTTAAATTTAAGAAATAAAAATTCTATTATATAACAGTGATAATACACGATCAGCACGAAATACGGCAAATTTGGCGAACTTTTGGCGACGAACAATTTGTAAACAAATCCGAACTGCAAGAACGTTGTGAAATACTGTCAACTCTGAAATTTCCACGATTATATATTTAATGAATATGTACACATTTAAAAATGACTCAGGCAGTTGTATTACAACAAAACAGCAATAATTAAATCGGCCTCTATTTCCACCGTCCATCACTTCACAGTGAGTTTCATATCGCCATATTGAAAGTTACCCGTGATCCTTCAGAAGCAGAACTTTCGTCTGATTGGTTGAACGTTCGAGGAACACGTCTCCAGCTGGAACATTTTCGGATAAATTTTAAAATGTTGCTCGTAGCCGGGACAAATTCCTCCTAGCTAGACGAAACATTTCTCGGAAGCCTGCCGCTTAAAGCCGTACTACTAGAATCTCGTTTCTCGGAATTGTCCCGGGTAAGCGCGCACGTCCATAGAAGTGATAGGGCCATTTACAAATCCCCAAAGGAAAAAGTCCATATATCAGGTGATCTGGGTGGCCAAGGAATTGCACCTCCTCGCCCAATCCATCTTCCTGTAAAATGGTCATTCAAAGAACTACTAACGATGGTACCCCAATGAAAGGTGGTGCACATCTTGTTGCAAAAAGACATGTGGCTGAAGTGAACTAGAAGCTATTCTTCTAGTTGTGGAAAATACGAAGTCTTCCAACATGTCTAAGTATACGACTGAGGAGACCGTCTTTTCTGCAAAAAAGAAAAGCCCAATGACTCAGTCGTGCCTTAGTCCACACATTAACTTTTGGGGAATCCCTTTGTGCCTCACGGTATTCATGGGGGTTTTCAGATCCCCATATGCGCACAT